TCATTGATGACTACACTAGGTACACTTGGATCTACTTGCTTAGACACAAGTTAGAAGTTTTTCCAACCTTTTGATTGTTTCATGCTATGGTCCGAATTCGGTTTCAATCTAGTGTTCGCATCCTATGCTCAGACTCAGGGGGGGAATATAATGATGGTGAATTTTTGTCCTACATGAGAAATCTTAGAATACAAGTTCAATGGAGCTCTCCAAACACTCCTCAGCAAAATGGTGTGGTAGAACACAAGAATGGACACATCCTTAGCATTTTGAGAACTCTTCTTCAAGAGTCACATGCACCGCTTTTATTTTGGGTGGAGGCAGCTAGTACAGCTGTGTATCTAATTAATTGTGTTCCTTCATCTGTTTTGGCTAACTTGTCTCCTCATCAAAACCTATTTGGTTGTCCTCCCAATCTCTCCAACCATCATGTTTTTGAATGCTTATGTTTTGTACAGCTTCCTCTTAGGAACGTTCTAAACTCTCAGCTCAGTTAGTTATATGAGCCTTTGTGTGGGGTATAGTCCCAACCACAAAGGATTTCTTTGCTATGATCCTTTTGCCCGTCACATTCGTATTTCTTGGAATGTCATTTTTCTTGAGCATATTTCCTTTTTTTTTTCAGGAGTACCCAAGTTATTTGCAACTTTTGCTTCTGTTTTGTATGACTTTGATTCATAGGTTGCTCCGTCTTCAACAATTATGAAGGATCTTATTTTTTCCCGTCGCATCCATACTTCGTGGAATGTCATTTTTCTTGAGCATATTTCCTTTTAAGGAGTAGTCAAGTTTTCTGCACCTTTTGTTTCTGTTTTGTATGACTTTGATTCACAGGGCGCTTTGTCTTCAACGGTTGTGAAGGATCTTCTTGTCTTCACTCACAAGCGAGTTAGCGGTCCAACACCTACGCCTACGACCCTCCTTCCTCCCGGTCTAGATCTTCAGCCTGCCACCAATAACCCCATAAGTGATACCTCTATTTCAGATTCTTCTATTGTTCCATTTGTTCCTTTGCGACGTTCTACTCGCCTTTCTAGACCCCATGATCATTATGGTTTCCCTTCAAACCATAGTTCCTTTTCTGCAATCTTGTCTTCCACAGATATTCCTCATTCTTACTAGTAGGCCATTAGCAATCCCCACTAGAGAGATGCCATGGATGCAGAGATTCAAGCCTTGCATAAGAATGACACTTGGGACCTTGTCCCAACTCCTTCTAATGGCTTAGCAAATGGGTTTATTCTATCAAGTTGAAATCTGATGGTTCCTCAGATCGATACAAAGCCTATCTTGTGGCTCGAGGTTATACACAAGAGTATGGCATTGATTATGAGGAGACATTTGCTTCGGTGACCAAGACCACTATAGTTCGTGTTCTTTTAGCCCTCTCTGTTGTGCACTTCTGGTCTATCTATCAATTGGATGTGAAAAATGCCTTTCTACATGGACATTTAAAGGAAACAATATACATGAAACCCCCTCCGAGGTACTGTAGTGATCCATCTCTTGTTTGTCGCTTGAAGAAATCTCTCTATGGGCTGAAGCAGGCCCCTCGGGCATGGTTTGAGAAATTCAAAGATGTTGTTGTGGATGTCAGGTATAGTCAGAGTGATTCTATTCATTCTCTCTTTGTTTAGAAAAGGCCTCAGGGTATTACAATTCTCCTCTTGCATGTGGATGACATGTTATTGACTGGAGATGATATAGAAGGAATTCAAGACCTCAAGTCTCTTCTTCACATATCCTTTCACATGAAGGACTTGGGTTAAAGACTTGAAGTCCAAAGAAATCATCAGGGATATTTTATTTCCCGACACAAATATGCTTTGGTTTTGTTAGGTTGGCCGGCCTTACAGATAATAAGCAAGTTGATACTCCCTTGGAGCTGAATATTAAATTGTCCAAGTCAAAAGGTCCCTTACTCATTGATGCCTCCATCTATCATCAACTTGTGGGGTCCCTTATATATCTCACTATGACTCGACTTGACATCTCTCACGCGGTTCAGGTTGTCAACCAGTTTGTCTCTGCTCCACGTCAACCCCATTTGACTGACGTACATTGAATTATCTGCTATGTTTGTGGCACTTTATCACAAGGACTATTATTCTCCCCATCCTCTCCTATCCATTTGAAGGCCTATGCTGATGTTGATTGGGTAGGTTGTCTTGACGCTCATCGCTCCACTACTGGGTGGTTTATGGGTGATTCTCTTATCTCATGGAAATGGAAGGAACATAAACTATCTCCAAGTCCTCCACAAAAGTTGAATACAGGGCAATGTCGTTGGTGTGCAATGAAATTGTTTAGCTTAAATTGCTACTTAAAGACCTTGGTCATCCTATCCCTCTGCATGCAAACAACACTAGTGCTATAAATATTGCTTCTAACCCTGTCCTTCATGAAAGGACGAAGCACATTGAGGTGGATTGCCACTTTATTCAAGATTTGTTTCTTGTTGGATCTATCTTTCTTCCTCATGTGGCATCTAACATGCAGATTCTTGACATCTTCACCAAGGCCAAGACGAGATCCAAACATCTATTTTTTATGGGAAAACTGATGCTAATGCACTCACATCAGTTGAGGGGGAGTGTGAAGAATGCTGATGCTGTACCTTATTACTATAGTCCTTGTTGTACAGTATCATGTTATTTCTTTTTCTTTTATTTTCTCTTCTTTGCCCCATAAGGGTCTTTCTGTAAATACACATTTCATCTCTCTGTCTCTATATATATATATATATATTCTGACTCTCTAGGATGGGGTCGTTTGATTCTGTTTTCACCCTAAACTTTGTGTTGAGCTCTTTTGTACAAACTGAATGTGTGACATTAATCACATGCAAAACAAGAATTACTACCATATATACAGGATATTAAACATAAAAATAAGCATTACATGCAAAGAAAGACAGCAGTCATTTCTTACATTCAAGCTAAGAATTATTACCATATATAATTCAAACAGAACAAAATAATTACTGCAAACCCAAATAACCATGAATAAACAGTTATAAATCCAGCCAAGAAGGCATATTAGAAAAGACTATACCTTAGCCCTCCACCACTAACAGGGGAATCATCAACTTGGGTTCCACTTGTAGACAATACAGAATTCAGATAGCCCATAATATACAATAATAACTTTCCAAACTACTCAACTTGTTTCTTTCTTAGATGAAAAGGAGACAATCAATAAAAGAAACACAGATTTGAAAGAAAACCAATAACAAAGAAAATGTCTATTAATAAGCTGAATTGAAACCCAAAGATCTCATTAATTGCCACATCATCTCCATTCACGATGTTTTAACCCTAATCTGCATGAGAAAGAATTTCCAAATTAGAAGTCACACAAAAGAAAGATTTACTTGAATCAAATCTCAAAATTTAACAAATTACACCCAAATTAAAAGAACAAATATTCAAATTTAGAAATAAAGTTCATAAAAAGACAAAAGTACAGATGAACCAATCAAACTTTAATGATTACAACTAAATTCTGCTTTTTGCAGTGGAGACCTGAGATCAAATCCCACTGCCACTAGGGTTTGGGGGACGGGCTATCCCTCGTTGTGTAACCCAATGAAGCAAAAGAAAAAAGAATAATTCATTGAAGAAATTCCAAATGAAATTGATCAAAAAAGAAAAATAACTCCACATGAAGAGAGAGAAATTTAAATGGGTATGTGAGGAAAAAATGCAAAACATGATATGATGCATTGACGATTTGGGTTTGACAAGAGGAATTAAATAGGTGATGCAATTTTAGAATTTACAATAGCTTATAATATGGGAATAGTAAACACACATTTTGAAAAGAAGGATGGACATTTAGGCTCAGTTTGGAAGGAGTACAAATACAAATTTGTAGAGTACAAAACCTTGTATTTTGTATTATTTTGTATGTATTTGCACTGTACATATTTGTATTTATACTCCTTCTAAACTGAGCATTAATAACATTTAAAAATGTACCTAGTGCAAGTGAAACAGACTTTTGTCCTTATTAGGAGAGTAGAATGAATTATGTGTAAGGATTACAAAATTATTCCAAGGGAAAACTTAACCACAAAACATAGATTAATAGTTGTAGATGTGTACACTAAGAAATGGAAGAGAAATAGGAAATAAAATAGGTGTTCAAGAATTAGGTGGGCAAACCTAAAAGGAGAAAAACTAGTACAATTTAGAAATAGGCTAACAGCAAAAGGAAAATAGAATTCAGATGGAAAGACTAATGATATGTGGCTTGAAATGGCTTATTGTATAAAGAAAGTAGTAAAAGGACATTTTAGGATAATTTAAAGGGAAACGACAAAGTGCTAAAGAAACTAAAAATGTAGAGGAATGAAGATGCTTATTGTTAGTGTCGACTATATAGGGGTATTTTAGTCTTTATATTTATGTTTAAAGCTGATGTGTAATGTTATGTTAAGTGATGTGCCCCATACTTAAGTAGGGATATAATAGTCTTTTGTTAATTGGATAAAAACATATAAATATAATCTGGCTGACTAGAGGCAGTGTCAATTTTCTCTAGTTCAAACCAGAATTCTCTTCTCTTCTTCTTCTCCTTCTTCTAGTCTCTCTAATACTTCTTCAACTCTAATACTAACAGAATTCTAGTGCAGATCAGATTTATATCATTTATAATATTATCAAAGTAAAGCAAATATATTATCAAGATTGTAAAAGACTAAAAATGTAGAAAATTTGGAAAAATATGAAGCTATAAGAAAGGAAGTTAGAAAGAAAGTAAGTGAAGTTAAACTTAACTTCCGTAGAGGGTTGAGGGATGAGGAATCCTTATCAGCTTCTGAGTTTTTATTGTTACTTGATTCTGTTTGCTTGGACCCACTCAATTCTGATAGGAGGTTTTGGACTTTGACTCCGAAAGGGTCGTTTACTTGTGCATATTTCTTTAGATCCCATTGCTCCAGTTCCTTTCCTCGGGCTTTCCCAGTTAAGGAAGTTTAGTATAGACCTATTCCCCCAAAAATAGCTGTTTTTTGTTGGGAAGTTTACTACGGTAAAATCAATACGATGAATAACCTGCAGAAGAAAAGACCTTTCTTGTGTTTATCCCCTAACTGGTGTATTTTGTGCAAACTGCAGAATGAGGACTATTACCACTTATTGATTTCTTGTCCTTTTTCTGCAACCATTTGGAATTGGGTATTTGATTTGTTTGAGTGCAGGTGGAACTTGCTAGCTGAGGTAAATTTGCTGTTTTCCCCATCTACCTTTGTGTGGACCACAAGAAGAGGGAGAATTATGTTGAAGTGTATAAGAGCAGCTCTCCTTTGGACTATTTGGTAAGAGAGAAATTCCAGAATTTTTCAGGAGAAGAAAAGAAGCATTCTTGAGGTCAAAGAGTGTATTTTTACAAGGACTATTTTGTGGCTGAAATCCTTAAAGCTCTTTGAAGATTACTCCTTTGAGGATTTATTGAGGAATTGGTCTGCAGTTGTCCTCACTTCCTCTAGGAAGCCTAGAATTCAAGTAACTTGGACTCCGCCGATGGAGGGTTTTGTTAAGCTAAACTTTGACGGAAGTAGTCAGGGTAACCCAGGACCGTCTGGGATTGGTGGTGTACTAAGAGATGAGAACAACAACATCATTGCCCTTTTTTCAGGATCGGTGGGAATAGGAGACTCTGTGAGGGCTGAACTCCTAGCTGCGGCACAGGGAGTACAGATTGCTTATCAACTTGGAGTGCAGAATTTAATAATTGAGGGAGATTCCAAGGTGGTAGTAGGATGGTTGGCTGACCTGGGTACTGTCACTTGGGACTTTAAGGATATTTTAAAAAAGGTCAAATGGCTATTGAGGGACATGACAGATAGATTTCAGTGGATGGGTAGATCGGCTAATGCCTTGGCTGATTATCTTGCTAAACAAGGGTCTACTCGGGTTTCTTTGTATTGGGCTTCTCTGTAATTTTCTTTATCCTTTGTTATGCTTATTAACTAAAGGGTTGATGGTTTCCTCCATCTCCCCGCCTTAAAAGGGGAGGTAGCATCTCGTGCCTCTCCCTAATTTGTACTATTGGCTATGATTTAATAAATCTTACATTTCACTGATAAAAAAAAAACAAAAAAAAAGTTAAACTTAAGGCGTGTAATGGACTCTATCATAAATTAGGTACCAAAGAGAATATTGAATTTATAAACAAGCAAGGATGAGAGAAAGTAAAGGTAGAGATTTAAGGTTTTAAATTGTGTTAGTTACATCAAAGAGTCTTGATAAAAGATGAAGAAGTCAAGAAAAGATCTAAAAAATTATTTTTGAAAATTTATTAAATAAAAAACATGTAGAGGGTACCAATGGAGGAGAGGTTAGTAACTCAAGTTGTATAAAAATTGGCATGTACCTTCACAAAATTAGAATTATTGAAGTGAAGAAGACACTAAATAAGACAAAGGAAAAGGTATTAGAACCTAATGGTGTGGAAAGGTATGGGAAAGCCATAAAGGTAGTTGTTGAATTTAAAAAATGTGAGACTGGTATGGCAGATTGGAGATGGTGGTTAGGGTGGTCGATGGTGTTCCTAGAGTCATTGTGAAAGGATGGAGCTCTTGAAAGAGAGGCTTGATACAAAAGCTGCTTGATATGCGAGTAAGTGGGGTGCTGTCTTGGAGCGGAAGACTTGGGTCTATTGGTCAAAGCCAACCATTCAAGCCCTCTCATGTGGTTGCCTTATGTTCTCCTCGTATTCAGAAGTCATTGCAGTCCAGCTATTGGTGGCTATCCCTTTCAATTCAACAGGTGTCATGTTTCCCTGCTCTGATGGTCACCCTACATTGAGAAACTCTCAGTTTTGAGTAGAGAACGGAAATGAACTTGGGTGTTTGGTTTATTGTTGCAAGTGTAGTGTATGGAAACTTTCAGAGAACTTCAAAATGCTTTGAGAGGGTTTGTCAGAGTGGGAAATTCGAACCTAGAATGGAAAGACAACTTTTCTGCATTTTCTAGTCTGGGCAAAGTCACCCTATGTGCTACCAAGACATTGGTGGTGGAGCTTCAGGGGGAGGTTTCTGTAGTAAGAATATTGGTAGAGGGCCTTGCCTCTATTATGGTGCAGAGGAAGGCTAGTAGACACAATACAAGGGTAAAAACAAACTAGGTTTCATTCCAACAGTACGTGGCAAAGGTCATTGAGGAGCAGGTTGTTGAGCAAGGTCAAAGCAGGGCCACTAACCGTGGAGGAGAGAAACCCATTGTCCAAGAGGCTGAGCAAATGGGAGTGAAGACTTGGGTTCCTATGGTGCACTCTGGGAGACACCGTTGCTGGGAATCCAGGGATGTTGATAGATGGAGGCAATAGTTTGGCACCTGTTAAATTTTCAAGTCTTCAAAATTTGAATCCCCCCACCCCTTCAGTTGAGGATGTGGGTGGAGAAGATGGTTTGGAATGTAGATTCAAGCATGGGCCAACTCTTGAGTTCAAATCTTGCCCAAAGCAATTTGAACTGGTGGCCCAAATATAGGCTTTTAGCTTAAGTTTTGTTTGGCATTCCATTTGTGAATATTTGAAAGCGACTTTGCTCTTTGAAAATTCAAGCTCATATTTGCCAAAATTTGAAGGTTGTGGGCTGGCCTAAAGGGGCTTCCAAGAAATCTGGATTTATGTTTTGTTGTAGGCAAACCTCTATTAAAGATCTATAGTCACACTTGAAAAGGTATTGAATGGCAGCTTTTCTATGGTTTTCCTCATAGGGTGACCTCCTATTGAGCGAACATGGAATCTGGAGTAAATGGTGATATTTGTGTTTCATGTGAGGGAAGGCCACCTGCTTTTTGAACACTTTTGGTATAAGTCTTCCCAAAGTTCTTTGTTAATGTTTTCATCTAAACCCACTTGAGGAGAATAAGCACTAATTATGTTAATGATGTTATAATTTGTAGAGGAGATGGGCCGAATGGCCCATAGACTATTATTTCATGTTATGTTTATGTTTCCCTCTGTAATGGGCCTTATTCTGGGCCCATACTCTATAATGTTCTGTTTTTTGTAATTTCTTGCCCACTCAAGGGCCTCTCTATAATATTTCAAAGATTAACTTAATAAAATGTTTAGAGTGTTAGAAGGAGGTTTAGTTCGAACCTCTCACTCTCTAACTCTCATTGCCACCAGCTCTCTCTCTCTCTCAACTTCTTAATCTTCTCTTGTTCATTTTTCTGGTTTTGCATCTAATCTCAAGCAGTCATATACTTCAAGAKGATTGTTTTCAACTTGGTATCAGAGCGGGCCAGAGCTTGGCGTGGCCCTCATGTGGTTCTAGTCCAGCCAAACTGCATGAGGATGTTCTAGGGCTGGAAGTTTAAAGTCATTCACCTGGTTCTTGGAGGTCATTGGAGGGTGCCCAAGTCTCTACACACTTGGAGAATAGTTCGGTGACCAGGAATAATCAAAGAGCAAGGTGTTCGGCCTGATTTAAAATCAAAGAGAAAGATGTTCGACCTGGTTTGAAGTTCAAATCAGAGATTCACTTATGTAAGTTGTCTCAGTTATTGCTGGGTTATTTTCGTTGCTTGGGAGGGCTGTTAAAGTATTCGAAACCCTCCTCCATTCTGCCCTACTGTTCGGCTGTTGCTGGACTGATTCAACTCAGAGATTTCTAAGTTGTTTTGGAGTGCAGTTCGGCTGTTGTTGGACTGTCAAGTTGCTGAAACTGATTTGGACTCAGTGGTACTAGTCCAAAAATTCTGTCYARCCTTTGTTTTGGACCTATACAAAACATTATTGAAGTGGTTCCTACTAGTTAACAGTAGGGTGTTAACTACTGCACACAGAGTGTTTGTCAAAAGGCCTCTTAAGGACTGTGGACTATTATTTCTTCTCTTTGGGACAATGGTTGTTGGGGACCTGAAATACTTTGTGTTTGGAGGTCTGTTAGTTGTCCCTTGAAGGTTGAAATAGTATTTCTTACTCTAGAAAGTGCTGTCACCGAGTTGGACTGTCACGGTTATCAAGACTGAACTATTTTTTGTGAGCTGGTTGTTGTTGCCGATTCAACTCAAACTAAGTTCATCAAGATTCCCTGTACCTTGAAAAACTTATTAAAACCCTAATTGGAGTCTTTGCATGATGGATTCCTCGGACCTTGAAAGCAAAAATGCTGCTGAATATTGATAGACTTTGGGAMCCCCAGCCGATTCTATGTTGGTTGTAACTACAGTTAAACTTGATGGGACTAACTACTTGGCATGGTCACAATCAATGAAAATCCATATTTGTAGCAGAGGAAAATGGGGGTTTATTTCTAGGAGCAAGAAAGCCCCCCCAGAGAATGATCCATCTTATGAGAGATGGATGCAAGAGAACTACACAGTRATTGGGTGGCTTGTGAATTCAATGCAGCCACAGATTAGTCAACACTATCTTTGGATGAACTTGGCTAAGGAAATTAGGGTTAGTGTTGCAGAAACCTACTCCCAAAAATTGAATGTTGCCAGAGCCTATAAACTGAGGAGTGATGTGAAGAATCTAAGGCAATGGGAGAAATCACTTGCAGCATACTTCTCAACCCTAAAATCTCTATGGCAAGAGATTGATCTGATAGAAGCTGTGACAAGGGATACCCTCAATGATGTTGAAACATACAGGAAATTAGTTGAAAGGAACAGGGTCTTTGAGTTCCTAATAATGCTGAATCCTGAATATGACATCAAAAAGCAGAACATTACAGAGTATGGGCCCAAAATAAGGCCCATTACAGAGGAAAACATAAACATAACATGAAATAACAGTCTATGGGCCATTTGGCCCATCTCCTCTACATAATTGAAAACAAGTCTAATTAAATCGCTGACTCAACCAGAGCTGAGATTCAAGCTGTTTTGCTAGGGGTTACAATTGGCTAAGGAGATGAATGTTGATAGATTACTCTTTGAGGGGGATTCAAAGTTGGTTATTAGTTGGCTAAGGTTTCTGGAATCTGTTGTTTGGGCCTACAGGGAAGAAGAGGTGAAGAGGTTTAAATGGATGACTTCTAACATGACAGTGAGGATTCAATGGGAAAGGAGATTGGCAAATGGGCTAGCTGACTGTCTAGATAAGCAAGGGGTGCATAGGGATCCCTTTTCTAGGCTAAAATGTGATTTTTTTGGTATATTGAGGGTGTGCCTCATGCCTCTGTGTGGGAAGCTTATTCCATCACTTGTTTTTGATACACTTCAATAAAATTTCTTCTTTACTTATCAAAAAAATTATTTTATTTCCAATTTTTTAACATTTAAAATTTCATTTTTTGAATCCTTAACTACTATTATTGCTACTCCATTTCTATTATTTACCTCTTTGGTATACATTAATTTGCAACAATCAATCTCTTTATCCTTTTCTCCTTCAATTTAATTTCTTGTAAACATGCAATATTAATCCTTCTCGTCTTCATTGTCTACTAATTCTATAGTCTTTTTTATTAATATTCTTACATTCCAAATGGCTAATCAAATCTGTATTTCTTGGATTAATATCTTTAGCCACCCTCATCCAAAAGGATGCTAGAACCCTTGCCCATTTTTCATTGCAACCATTCATAGTTGTAACTTGTTGCTTCCAAGGAACGCTCTAGCATATCAATTCCAAGGAAACCCCCAGTATGAGCACAAAAAGATAATTAAGGATCAATGACTACAAGAGTTAGGCAAAAGTTTTAATGTCATCTGCCAACCTAACACAACCCTCCTTTATCCAAGCTTGGAACCTCACACAACCAGAGATTCTTGTGTAAGCCCAGTGGTGAGGATGAGGATGGTCTAGCTCCAAAAGTCCGGAGGAAGATGGTGGTGGTTCAGGGAGGAGAGAGAAAATGTGGATCTCTTCCCCCCTTAATGGGTTTAATCAATATCATGTTAATGGGTCCCCATATGGATACAGGGCCCTATTTATAGTGTTTTGGACTACATCTTCCAGAATCTTCTTATGTTTTCTTTCTGCCCATTTTCCCCTTAATGAATGTGCATGTACTTAATTGTTATTCAGAGTGTTTTTAAAGGCTATCATTTTAGAAGATTCTAGCTTTTGATTTGTTTGTGAATAATTAGTAAATAATCGGTCCTGTCTGACCCAGATTATGCCAGGTTGGCTGGGTTAATGTGCTTATATAAATCTATTGTCTCACACCAAATGGTGCAAGACAAGCACACACTAGAAAAATAATCATCTTCAACAGACCATATCACCTTTAATATGTTTCCAAAAAAAGATGTGACTTTACCATTTGTCTGATTTTTGAACTATATCGCCAAAGAGGTCCCCCCCCCCCTTTCATTTCTTTTTCATTTTGATATGTGAGGATCAATGGAGGAATATTATATTAATAAAACACTGTGTAAATTTAATAGGAATAGGGTTTTGAAAGGGAACATTCAGCCATAGTAGCGTTTCCAATCAAAGGGATCATGTTGCAGTATAAGGTCACAAAGTACAAAGCAAAAAGGGTAATATGACTGAAATGGGCAAAATATATTCTTCGAATGGATAATCCTGAAGGTTGCATGTTGAATGAATGAACTAAGTTGGTCACCTTGCTGAGGGGTGAACCTCACAATTTCTACCACAGTACCACTTTGTCATGAGAACCTCTTCTTTTACTATTTAATATTATATTCTACAGAGTTTACCTACTAAAATATCTCTACATAGATTAAAGGATTAACAGATTCATGGGTTGCAAACCCAGACATAAGATCTGGCAGTGTAATGAGGTAGTGAAACTGAATGGAGAAATCCACAATTCAATTGATAGAGAAGATTAGGAACTGATAGGAAATGAAGAAAAAACGTATCTTGAAACAAATTAAGCAAAAACGGTAATAAATTAAAAAAAAAAGGAGAGAAACCCAATTACTAATGTTTTTGCTGCCCAAGCCAAAAATAGGATGCAAGAATCGTCATCTTTGTAGAGCAAAACAGATAATATCGACATTCAAAAATTTGCGTAACACAAAATTTATTGGAAACAAACATCCCAAAACTAGCATCGCTTGTAAGAAATCATAGCACGCGAAACCAAATTTTCTGAACAGAGCAGTATAACCCATAGGAACCAAATAAAACGAAACCCAACGAACTTTTTAAAATTTAGAAATATTAAGACAGAACCGCCATGCAATGAAGTTAAAGAATAGAGGTTTGCAGAGAAGAAGAAGGGAATTGTTCGCTTGACTAAGAAGAAGGGACTAAAGGAGGAAGAGTCCTCCGTTTATTTTGTAGAGAAAAAGAAGAAAGAAGACTTAACCGATATCGATTCGCCTCGTGTCGTAGTCTCCAAGTTCTAATCCCTCTTCTCCGTCTCCAATCTCGGGCAACGCCTGAACAGACTATTTTTAGCCTGCGTTTGCCGTTTGGGGGCTTTTTTGGCTGGTGCCTATGGACTTTGGACTTCCATTAATTTTACGACACGTCTACAATTTCTGGCATCAGTGCAACTGGTAACAGAAAAAGATAAACAAATCCGTTTGGGTTCGAATCTTCCCCCCCACCTGCCCCCCAAAATCGTCCCACACTAAAGAGGCCGCGTGTCCTCTCACACGCATGCATCATCTCAGTCTCGTGCAGAGTTAAATGGGACGGCCGTTAGTTCCCGTTTCGCCCAAAAAGTGAGTTTTTCTCTTTCAAGTTCCAATCTCAGTCTCTCACTTCTATTGGCCTGCCCTCTGAAACCAGACCACCCTATCTCATCCCTCGTCGGATCTTGCCGAGAAATCCAACGATCGTTTCGGTAGATACATCGGAGGTACGTACTTCCCATCCCTCTCAGATATTCTCAAATATGTTTTTCTCATTTTTTTTTAATTTCTTCTTTTTTGCAACTGAAAAAACGCAGAAGGAAAGAATTCATCATTTTCTCTTTGTTTTGATTATGCGACTTTTAAGTTCCACAAACCGACTGCTTCAAGGACGACTATAGGAAAAGGATTCATCATTTCCTTGATGGAAGCCAAACTGAATTAATTTATTCACCTCAACCTCCGACTACTCTTGATTTCCCTTTAAAGTACAGAAACACATTATGGCTCAAAATCAAGTTCTGAACTTGTTTATGAGGTCTTCAGCTTCAACCCTCTAATCTTTTTTTTTTCTTTTTTTGAGAGAACCAACCCTCTGGTCACGAAAACGATTGTGCTCTGTCTAACCCACACAATTATTATAGTTTTAAATTAACGCCATCTTCATTCCTTAAATAACCATGAAATTTGCTCTTATCTTTGCACTGCGTATCACCCCAGCCGGAGGCATTCCATGGTTAAACTCAAATCAGTGAATTTAGAGTGGAGTATTGCAGGAGGAAGAGAGAACATATTAGAGAATATATTCCGGCGATTCTTCCCTTCTGCGTTCTTCTATTGTATAAAAAAGTTAAAAAACTGAAAAAAAAATATTTGAGAATATCTGAAATGAGAGGGATGGAGAGTTCTGGTGTATCTGCCGGAATGATCATTGGCGTCGGATTTTTCGGCAAGATCCGGCGGGGGAGGAGATGGGACAATCTGAGTTTCTGAGGGCAGGTCGATAGGAGTGAAAGACTGAATTCAAACTTGAAAAAGGAAAATTTACTTTTTTGGGTGAAATGGGAGCTAACGGTATGAGTTAACGGTATGAGCTAACGGGGGAGGAGATGGGACATGCGTGTGGAAGGACACGAGGCGTCTTTTAATTGTGTGGGACGTTTTNGGGGCATTGGACTTTTTCATCTTCTTGCAAGTTGCGTTGAACAACCTCGAAGAAATTAACTATTTGACAATTACTTAAAATACCCCGAAAGTTTCATAAACTATTTCAAGTATCCCTGAACTTTCAGAAACCCTTCCCTTGGTTTTCCATCACATTCGTTTGCATGTGCATCATGTGACACTTTCATTTTTTATTTCTAATCTTCTCCACATGCAGAGTGCGGAAAATTTTCTACACCTATAAATAGGAAATTGTCATGTAATATTGGTTTTTGAAACTCAAATTTAAATGGGGTGCAAGCCGGGCGGGCTGTGGGTTGGGTTTAAGCTCAACCCATACCCAAACCTTAAGAATTGAACACAAGGTTCAAGCTTGATTGCAATGCAAACGTAAATCTATACATTATATATTTATCCATTTTTTAGTTTATGAATGTAAACACGGTTCACATTTTAAATCATTTATGCATTCATCTTGTTTGATTGAAATCAGTACAAAGTGTGGATCCATCATTAAATGCTCCAACTATCTTATGCTCAAATGCCTTAACTTTGGTCAAAAAGTTAAACACAAAATTGTATATAAAAAAATAGGTATAATAATGCTCTAGTCTCAAAGTACAAAAGTGTCATAAAATACATTTTTGCTCTGATAATCATTACTTTTTTACGTATCAAACAAATGCTCGCAAACATGAATTGAGGTACATAAATACCCCGGTTCGACGTTTGTATCGCAAACAAACGGAGCCTAAATTATTTAATTTAAACGGTCTGAACTGAAATTTGATGGACTCAGTTTGGGTTGGGGCTTGGGTTGGTCAATCAGCCCATATTAAAATTTAATATAAAGATGTATATATATATATATATATATATATATATATATATATATATATATATGTGTGTGTGTGTGTGTGTGTGTGTACATATATGGATATTATGTGTGATTTATAAAAAAATGCATATATTATGTACATAGGTGGGTCAAGTTTGGGTTAGGATAAGGTAGGGTCAGGCTCGGACCGGGTTTGGGTTATTTAAGAGTTAAGCCTGGGCCTGTCCCAAAAAATTAAAAAAAAAAAAAAACCAAACTTTTGGGCCTAGGCCCAACCCAAGGGCCTAAAATCCAAGCCGAACTCATGTAAAATTGTGTTGGGTCGATTTGGGCTCGGGTTAGATCCACCCAAGTTGCACCCGTAAAATTTAACAGATCTGGACTAAAAAATTAACTTTTTTTAACAGAATGCCGAAAAAGGAAAAATTTGTATTCAATCAAATGAAAACAGAATTGTTAAAAATGCCACCGTTGACAACTAATCATCTCAATATTATTCAAAATTTTAACTAACTACGCATAATGGGATCTCCAATACCTACCAAAAATAAGTGAAATTTCACAATCCTAACTCCTCAATCAAATAAATTGAAGCCCATATCATCATTTGACTATTTCTTCTCTTCAACATTCTCTTCCTTCTTTGACACAGCCACAGCAATTACAGCGGTTGCTCCGGCACCAATGCCACCATCAGCAGAAATAGCAATAGCGACACCACCGCCGGAAGGAACCGAGGCAAGCTTCTCCCTACCAAAGGTGATGAATTCAATGATGTCCTTCCCCTTGATTTTAGTAAGAAGGAGTTCTATTCTATTATCTTCTACTCCTGCCCGACTGATCCCAAGATGGTTTTAAGGTCATCAAGGACAAGTACGTAGCGATGACCTTCATCTCGGCTTCTGGGAGGCCAAAGAGAAGAGAGGCGAGCACCCACTTTCTAGTCTCTCTCTCTCTCTCTCTCTCTCTCTCTCTCTCTCTCTCTTAGTGCAATGCCCACATTCTCTTTGCTAGTTAAAAAGTTACTAAAGTAGTCTCTCAATTAGTCTCGGGAATTCTAGGTAAAACTTATAGACAACTTCAACCTAAATATCCAATTTTGTTCTAGTAATGAACACCAAGGGCTAATCTGAGTGTTATAGGTCACAAACGTTTGAAGAAGCACTAAGGAGTCATCCATTATTAAGGATTAACAATTTGTGTTTTGAAGATTGTTCATGTGTATTTTGTAGTTTGTTTTATCAAGGTTTAAAGTATCGGAAACATAAGGTGTATTGGAAAGACCATTTTAAGAGATATACCGGGGCACGCTTTGGATACAAATGGATATGGACAAATGAATTAATTTATGCAAAAGTATGCTAGGAAACTTAAATAAATCCTAAAAAATATATTAATAACAATAATCATAAGTTTTATATGATTGCAAATAAGTTATTTAAATGTAAAAAAAAACATACTTTAATAGTTTATATAAAGTGTGAGATATCATGACTAAATTAGTAACTGTTGAAAATGAAGAAGAACTAAAATGTGTATGTATATATTAATGTTCAAAAAATCAATGTATAATTTATCTCCACCGAGGAAGGAGAAAGTTTACTTAAAAATAAAAATGCATATGACCATAACAAACAAATAGAGGGTCACTAATGGTGAACTTATGGTCGTTAAAACCTAATGACCATTAATGAAAGCTAAAATCTTGCTATTGCTAAAGTTTATAATTTTTATACTAACAATTACAAGAGCTAAAATCAATGACTTGTATAATTAAGGAATAACAAACAAGGTTAACAAGAGAGAGAATTCGAATTAAGCGCTAGAATTTAAATTTGAAGAATATGCCTCAAATATAGGAGTAATTAACTAATTAATGAGAGAGAAAAGTTGACTTAAATATAAGACTAACAAAATTAATGAAAGAATTCAGCCTTAAATATAGATTAATGAAAATAATGAGAGAGAGGGGGAACCCGAAATGAACTAAGTGTATTGGGATGTATCGAACTGTTTTGGGCCCATATCAGTTCGATGCACATGAAACGGAATGCAATACATGATTTGCACATGTTCTGTGTATCGAACTTTTGTTGGAACAATACGTATCATAGATACAACCCAATACTTGTAAAATTTTGAACCCTAGTTTGCATTGTATAACTTGTTCATATTCTATCCATGAAATCCAATAAGAGAGAATTTTACATGCCCCACATGTGAAGGGGAAAACAACATTATCACTGAAGAGCATAAGACATAAATGGACTTGTTTTCCTAAGTTAGTTTTGCATAAAATAAAATGGATCCCTTTCCCCATGGTGGTGGAAGTGTTATGGTTTAGTTGGCATTAGATGTCCGGGACTAGTTTCCTAGGAAAAACAAGCAAGAATGGTTACCTAGGGCTTTTTTCATCCAAGAATATAATGGTTACCCAAGAAAATAAGTGGTGCCTAAGACTGATTTCCCAAGCTTGTACTGTCTACGATGTACTTGGTGCTTGGGACTAGTTACCCAACACATTATCTATTGTGATGTGAGCACTGAGATTTATAGAACGTTTAGCTATTTGCAACAAAGAAATATGCAATGCGACTAAAGGTATCCTAAGAGGTATTAGAACAATAATCACAAGCACATAATGTGCTAGAAACAATAGTAAGTGTATTTTACTAATATACAATGAAAAAGTGTAAGTCACTAGTATGCAGCTTGATATACAATGCGAAGAAAAGGAACAAAACAATACTTCATTAATAAGTATGGATATGAAGGGGTGAAAGATCCATCATATGGATGGCCAAACCCTGCAGGAAGGTAGGGTGAAATTTCAAAAATTTCTCTCTCTCTCATGTGGGAATCACATTCCCTGTTTTAGAAAAACTGCAT